AGTTCTCCATTTATTAGATGCTACTTTTATGTGGCATTTTACTAAGCATTATTCCAAGGGTTATTTAGACATGAACCCTGCTCCCTCAAAAAGTGACAATAAAAACCACATTAGCATAAAAGTTTATTCAGAAACTACTTGGTGAGCTCCTGCTGTAGGCCACGTGCTGTGCTATGCACTGGAAATACGAACATGACCATGGCATTGCCCTCTCTTCATTTACCTTAGAGTCTGGAGATGGAGATAGCGTAGTATACGGACAATGCCAATACCACAGCATCATTTGCTGTCCTCTAGCTAAGGAAATTACACTGCCGTGCACAGTGCCTGACATATAGTCAAGTCCTCAATCAATATTTATTGGATAAAATGAATTAAATGAAAAGAATGAGTAAATGCTAAAATAGAGTAAGTAGAGAGTGCTATGCAAAATACTTAAAAGGAGAAACTAGACTAGTTGGAGGGGACCAACCGCAGAAAGTGTCATTTACACTGAGACGGGAGTCAAAGAGTATAATGATGCAGAGGAAAGAGCAGGCTTGTGGAATTAGATTAGGGTTCGAATCCTGACAGCGCCACTCACGAGCTGAGCAATCCTAACTATCCCGAACCTTATTCTTTGCATCTATAAAACATTGATGATGGCTTTCAAGGTTGTGTGAGGGGTTAAATGAGATCTTAGTTATCTGTAAGTGTCTGTCACAGAGAAGAACCTCCATGAACCTATTAAAGGAGTCACAGACAACAGAATTGCAACATTAAAGCAGTAAATACCTAAGTAATAAGGTTAAGAGCACAAATATTTTGAGTGATAGGTAGCAATAACAAGCTTAAAATCATGATGGAAATAAGAGAGGGGTGCTGCAGCAGTTCTTGGCCTCTAAGCCCATACGAAGGTAGAGGTGGGCAGTGCCTCGTAGGGGGTTGTCTTCCTCCTCCAAGCCATCCCGGAAGACCTTCCTATTCAGCTTTAGCTGCAGAACCATGTGGCCCCGCCTGTCACTGTTCACAGTACGGTAAATACCTTTTCAGATAGTCAGATAATCTTAGGATATTATGATGTGTGGAGGCTTGATACAGACCATACTTATGTGTGTGTGTATATATATATACATACACATATACATATACATAAAAATATAATTTTTTTCCTGTAAGTTCTTGGAATAATTAGCTTCTGTGGCTTTTATCTTAAATTTACACAAATATACCAGACTTCTTTCTTCTGTTCTTCCTTCCACCCATGTACATCAGGCCTTTTCCTGCTGCATTCCTATAGTTAGATCAATTAACACACGCGCACACACACACACACCCTGTTCTCTACTGGCTTCAGCTCTTTTTAGGTGAGCTTTTGGGAAATGCCTTAAGATGAATCAGATTGTCAGATATGTAAATGCGGGTGGGGGAAGACAGGGAGGGGGGAGATGCTAGCAGCCGACTTTTGGTTCAGGTTTTCAGTTCATAACACCAGCTAGAACTATATTTTGATATGGCACAGAAATGTCAAGCAAGAGAGTAAGAGAGAGTAAAGAAAGGAGATGGTGGTGGCCCGAGATGAAAGAAACTGCAAGACATAAAAATATTTTAAACATAAAATTTGGGGAAAGGAGAGGTATTTAAAATGATGATGGGGGAGGGAAAGCAATTGATTGGGCCTTTGAAACCATGCCAGGAACCAAGAGCCAGGGGCAGTGGCAGAGGGGAAGGCCAGGTAGGACAATTAAAACGGAAATCTGCTCCTCACAACGCAGCATGGAGCAGGGCTACAGAATTTGCTGCAGTGGGAGGTGGGGCCAGTCTGGCACAGTCTGTGGGTTTGAAAGGAGCTGGGCGGGTTGGAGAATGCCAGTCAGCCTTTGTAGTTCTGAGCTCAGAGAGGGGGTGACAAATACTGGGCTTCAGGTCAGAAGCCTAGCTTGGGTGGCTTTTGGAGAAATTTTCCCTCTGCTCCCAAACTCTTAAAATTCGCTCATCGCACCACTGGCCTCCAATCACAGCATAAACACGTGGCCTGGAGGCTGTCCTCCAGCAGCGATTCTGGTGGTGGTACCTGTTGGCAGACTAATGGGGTCTTTTCCCTTTCCTGTTCTCTAGAGACCGTAAACTGGGCTGAATACAATATCTTTTTGCATATTTTCCTTCACCCTTCCCACATGCTTCACATCTCCCAGACTCCTAGGGTTAATCCCCAGGACAACCTTGCTTTGAAAGAAAAAATGTGGTGAGCCTACTTGAAGATTTGGATCCCAGAGGCCTCTGTCTGTCCTGCCTCAGCCAGACCCCAGACAGCCGGCTCAAGGAGATGGACATTTACAGAGAAGGAAGCAGTAAGTTTTTGTCGTTGTTTGTTTTCAAGGCTTGGTTGTTCTCCAGAATTAGAGTCCCTGAAAGCATGAGGTTTTCTTTTTTTTTTTCCTTTCCTTTCTTTTTTTTCTTTCTTTCTCAGCAAAAATAAATAATATCCCCTTCCCATCCTGGGGGTGATTCATAAAAGCAATTGAATTAGAAAGTGCTTCTTCATTGCTGCACATACCCTGGGTTAAAGATATCTGAAGTTGACCTGTCTGTGCTTATTCTCAACACTGTAAAATTTTAAAATGTATCTGCCTTTGTTAAATAATTTGTACTGATCATCTCCAGAATAAATACTCTGTAACTGGATGATTGATTGTAACTACGATGAATTTGTCCCATGGATGCATGGATGTCTTCTTTGGGGGTTTTTGTGCATACTTGCTACTCATCAAAGGGAAGGATAGAAAGACTTTGGAAGGAGGGTGTGGTCCGGCTGATTCAGCTCCCTTCCCTGCCCATCACTGACTCCTTCCTCTGCTCCTCCCTCTCTCCATCTCCTACCCTGACTCCTCAGATCCATCCTGAGCCAGCTGTCAATGAAATAGCATCTACCTTTCTTTTCTCTGACAGCCTGTGTTACATTCAGTCAGGTAGGAGACCACTCCCCGTAATCAAACTCATTACATTTGTGACCTCAGCATATTTTCAAACCAAGACGTAGAGCAGACATTGCATCTACTCCCTCAGCTTCTCCCATCCTTGGATTATTAGCCAAGGTAGTAATAATAATAATACTGTATTTAGGAGCTCTCTAGCACATTTCAGCTCTGAGAGTCTTACAGATGTTAACTAATTCATCTTCACAACACTCCATACAAGAGAGGTAAATATTATTAACAATGATATAATATACATATGTATACACTAAGGACAGCAAAATAGTTCACTTATTTATCATGGTTCACTTGACATAGTAACTGGTATTTTTAAAACACCCATCATAGATACAATAATTAGAGTTATGCTTTTGTTAACAAAACCACTACCCACTTCTAGCATACCCTTGGGTACTAAATAATTACCCACTTTGTGTGGTTATCTAGCTCACTAATTACCCACAGAAATTGGGGTCAGGTGTTAACTGCTTGAAATAAGTATCCTCCAAAGACATTGCTGAGTTGTATAGAGAAAATGATGTGTTCATAGCAAAACTTTCATAAGTCATATATTTGTATATCTTTGTAAGCCGAGTGAATACAGACAGGGGCAAATTAGCTTCGTATGTGAAAATCATGCTGAACTATTGTTGCAAATGTATGGAAGTTTAGGAGAATCTCAGAAAATTTCATTCTCTGTTTACTTTTCCTTTCCGAAGATGAGTGCAATGATTCCCATAATCTGGCTTTCATATATAAGCACACTAAGACAATTGATGCTCTGGTTAAGAATGATTCATTTTGGCATTACAGGGAGGCACCCAGTGAGTCAAAGATTTTTTTTTTGACGGCTCCACCCTTTATGATTATTCTAGCATGTTTCTTTTTTCTCCATCAGTCTAGTGCAAACACCCTATTAGCCAAATCTGAAAAAGATTCTAACCCAGTCACCAACCCCTGCCAACCATTTCTTTCTCCTTCTCAGTAAAGACAGACAGAAAAGAAAGTATGAAAGGAAATCCCACACTCTGATTGCAGGTCTTTCTCCTTTTGCGTCTGTTCGCTCTGCTTCCACTCCTCTCTCCTCTCCCCTCTTCCTCTCTCTGTGGCTCCTTCTCATCTCTGCTTTTTCTTCTCCTTTTCCTTGGCATCCAGCTGTGCTTCTGCAGGTCTCACAGTCAGAGACAAAGCACAATATCTGAGTTGAGCACAAAGAAGCTACCTTTTAAAAACATCGACTTGGAGGAAACCTGCATCCTCAGATACCTCCCTCCTTCCTCGATATTTACGGAACCCGGCATCATACTCCACACAGCGCTGCCTGTTCTCTGCGTGATTCTAGCCAGGCAAATTGCGTTAAGATGGCAATATACCCACTGTGTGTACAGATAGGTAGAGACCCTAATTTTCAGGAGATGCCTGCTTTACAGATCATTGTGTAGCTGAGCTTTTAAAATGAATGCCAACAGAAATGGTACGAGATGCTCCCTTAGTCAACTAAGGGTGTCTTTCATTTTTTCCTTGTGCCAATTTTTGTCATCTGAACTATTACTTATCATTATCGAGGGACTTCAGGGTGATCAACGAAGTGTGTATGTATCTGATAGACATCTGAGGAGAAATGCTTCAGGAATAAGGAAAATGTATGCAGTAGAGCAAAGGTTTAGGATGAGCTACTGTGACTGATGAGTTCACTTCAAATCCAAGGGAACGTAGGTGATAAATTAGTATATATGGCAAATACAGTCAACGAGCAAAACCCAGCCATTGAAAGGAAAGAGTTTTAAGCATTGTAGTCATCATGCCTGAATAGAGTGTCTATGTATCTTAAATATAGATTTGAATCACTGCTCTTGTATCCCTCTAGATGCTGATTTCAAAGAAGTATTTGGGCATTGTTGACTTTCTGTCTATAAAGAAAACCCACCAAAATTCACAAAATACATCACCTACGCTCATCCACGCATATGCATTTTAAATGCCGATGGGAGGCGGAACAATTAGGCACTATGGTCTCTCTTCTTCACTCCTTTCCCCCTTTTTTTTCCTTTTAGAAAATGTGATACCTGATCTCTGGGTCTAGCAGGCCGAGGCATTTTTTGTATTTGTATAATACAATGTCTGGCCTTCCCCCTGACCTGCTGGTGTATTTTTGGTCTCATTAGTAGTCAGGGAGATGCTTTAGTGCATCCGGTGCTGCGAGTCAAGGATGAGACACTACAACAGAGAGAGGGAGTGAGCGCGAGAGGATATTAGAAGAGAGGCTTGTCTCCAAGATATGGAAGGAAGTGAGAAATGACAGGACTGTGAGCTTTGTATGGAGGAGCGTGGCAGGGCGGGGGAGCGGCGAGGAGAGCGAAGTGGATTCTCAGGCAAGGGGGGAAGCCATAGAAGAGCTAAAGGTGATTACAGGGGGATATTGATTCCTTATTCTGCCAGAGATTTAAGCAGGCATGCGAGGAATCTGCACCATGGTTGGCAAAAGGAGACCCGTTGCCTCCTGTAACCAGACACTCGGGCTTTCCAGGAGCCTAGGGAGAGAGCTGAGAAGAAAGGGGGCAGTGTGGTCTAGGAAAATTCGACTTGTCGCTGATTTGTGCCTGATGCTTGCTGTCCGTCAGCAGCCTCCCTTACAATCTTTTTTTCTCTCTCTCCCTTTTTTTTCTTGCCTTCTCCTTCTTCACTGAAGCCTAGGGGAGCCAGTAAAGATTAAATGTGCTTTCTCAAAGGCAGCCACTTCATGCTGCTATGTCGAAAGGGCCATTATTATTATTATTTTTAATAGTAAAAGAAGGGAGCAAGGTTGGGAGAGAGAGAGGAGCTAGGTAGGATGATGACGGACTAGCTTTTCTGAGAGGAAAAGGAAAAGGGAAGGGAGAGAAAAAGGAGAGACCCTGAAGTGCATGGAGGATTGTGCCTGAGAAGAACCTACAGAGGTGAGAAAAAAAAAAAGTTGTCTTGAAGATGGGGGTGACGGGGGTGAGGATGCTGAATAGACCCTGTACAGAGGGAAAAGAAACATAATGTAGCTGTCTTGCTGGTACGATTCTATTTTGAAAGGTGGGGAGAGGAAGGAGAGAGCCTGGAGCTTTAACGGTTTTTAGTTGCATACCGAAATATATACAAAATATTTAGCATTTTTACTAAGTGCTTGAGGCCCCCTCCAGTGTCTTCCTTGCGGGGGGCTGCTTTGTCATTCTCTCTGACTAGCCGGCCATCTACCTTGCTCAGGCTGGAATAAAAGGAAAAAAAAGAAAGAAAGAAAAAAAGGGAAGAAAAAATTTTGAAAGAGTCATCTTCCCACCCACTTCCCTTCCCTTTCGTTTCATTTTTGGAGGCGGCACAGGAGCCGTCTTTGCACAGGAAAGCTCGGCTTCCAGGCAATGGAGAAAAGCTACTATCTATCAGGTACAGAACCAGTAGCTGTCTGCGAAGATGGAGGGGAATTATGTTTCGGATTCCTCGGAAATATTGGCAAAAGGCTTCAAAGGATCCGCGGCGGGAGTGGGGCGGGGGAGACGCATCTCCCCAGCCTGCACCCACCCCTTCCCACTTCGCGTCTACCGAATGACAGCCTGGTGCTGGCTCTGGGTGATTTGGCCTTGGCTTCAGCCAAGCAGCTGATGCAGAGGAGGCCCCGTTTGCAGGACTGGCAAAGTGCACGCTAAAGAAAGAAGGAAGAAATTTTGAAAAACAGCTCTGGGGAGGCTTCTCATTCTTAAAAAAAAATTTTTTTAATAATATTTGACTGAATATTTTCAAAATTTGATCAGTCCCAGTCCCTCCCTCCACTCCCACCAAATTGCCTTTTTTCTCTCTCGTCAAAGCATAAACTACAGAGTTACAGTCTCTAGATTTGGTGTATCGCTTCCTGCCCCCGCCTCCCCCTCTCCGCCCAGTTCTCCGTCCGCTATTGAAACACCTCGCCCAGGCTAGCGCACTGCGAGTTCGCATTTCCCCCCCTTGCTCGGAATGCTGCTACAGGAGGCTGCAGTCCTGCTCCGCTTCCTATGGGTGAGTTGAAAACGCTATTCGTATTTATACTTTCGTAGCCTGCAAATCCTACCTCTTGGTCTTCTCCTCCTAAAAATCTGATTTCTGTGATTTTACATGCCGCATGCTGGCCCAAGCGGAAAGCGATGCCTCCTGTTTTCTTCGCAGTCATTCGTGGTAGTTGTAAATTAAAGCTTTGAAGAGACATTTAATCTTCATTGGAGACCAGGGTTTTAAAACCATGGGCATTTCTGGGTCTGTTCGTATTATTTTCCATTTTAGTAAACTATTTTGCCCAAAGCTTCAGAGTTCCCTCTGATATATTCGCGAGTGTATGTTCAGGTATGTATGTGCGCCCAGAGCTATTGCGTACGTGCGTGTGTGTACATGATATTTAAGTAGATTCTACACCTTGTGAACTAAGAAAGCTTAGAGAGCGAGGGAATACCCTGCCACCTGTTTGTTGCCTTTTAGTCATGATCTCGATCAGAAATTGCCTGTCATTCTTGTTTTGCTTTGTTTTGTCTCAAGAAGGAACAATTTGTTGCGCTCCTCTCAATCCCTGAGACCCTAACTTGTGATGTTTACCGTTTAAATCCACGGGTTAGGCTCTTGGGAGCTGTGAGTCGTGCCTTTGCATCCTGGAATTTGGTGGAACTTTTTTCTTTAAAGCAAAAACAAAAGAAAGAAAGTTGGTCTGAAGTGACTGAGTGCACCTCTGAGGTTTTCATTGTTAGATGGGATCAGGTGACCAGAAAGGGGCAGCTCCTGCATTTTTGTGCAAGTAGGTATATATTCTGTTATAAGAGCGTGTTGGCTGCTCTGTGTATGTATATGTATTATTGATGTCTGAGGCTTCTGGAACTCCTCTACCATGGTCTATTCCTTGAGAGCAACACGCAGTACTGTTGAGCGGAACAAGAACAGCTCAGTACCTAGTGCTTGACCTCAGAACATATCAGCTGAAGTCCCAGCATGCCCCATGCCTCCAACTTTTAAACTCAACAGTTAATCTTAAAATTGTGCCCAATTAAAATGGGCATGTAGACATATTACATATTCAGTGCTCACGCATGTGTGTCATAGGTGGCTAGACAGTGAATACACAGACACAGATAGCGAACCAATCTTTTGGGGTAAAATATCGATAGGCTAAAAATTCTACTCTTGCTATTCTACACGAAGGATGGAATTTATGGGGTTAATAAGATTAAGTGTGTATTACTTTGCAAGATTTTAAAAAATAAAATAAAAAGAGAGATATAGCCTCCTTGCTTGGCATCTATTTTAAAATGTTATACAGAATGAGTTTAAAAGTAATAGGAATTGGAAATATATTTTCTAAACATATAAAAGGAAAGGAATAACAACAGCACACACGCACACACAATTATTTAATCCTTTAGAAGTAATCAATGTCTGTTATTCTTCATTTAAAAATTGGAAAAAACTTATCAGGACTTAAATTCAATCCAATGAAGTTATTTATAACACCAAACTGTACATTTAAAATTATCTTCTCTTAAGGTAATTGTTGCCATTACCTAGTTTGTAGTTTTCTGAAAATACAACTTTTTGTAACAATAATTTCAGTGATTCAGATCTATCTCGTAGTTTGAGAAGAGAAACAGTAACTTACCTTTCCTTTGTTGTGAAAAATGCCAATATGCAATTTCATTTAAACAATTTTTGTATTCTTGGGCCAACATTTGTCTTCTATTTTGGAAATACCTAAATCAACCCTGACTTCAAAAGCTTTCCTCTTTTAAAGACTTTATGTTGGTTGTAACCTCATTTTATACACATAGTCGAAGGTTAAGGAAACTGTTCTTTTCCTGTTGCTTTTTTTTAGGTGTTTATTGCAATTTTAGTCATTGACTCCAAATCGTAGTCAAGAAACCATTTTGTATCAGAAAACTGAATTGAGAAGATGAACTGTGCAACAATTGCACCATGCCTTTTGTTGAAACCTCTTGTGTAGTTATATTATTTAAATATTACTTTCCAGGCTTTGATAGTCAGAATGTGCTTCAAAGGAAAGAGTTATTTGATTTTCAAGTCATCTTTTGATTTCTCTACGATAGATTAACGATTTTCCCCCATCTTAGCTGACGTGTATGCATAGGTATTTGGAAATTCTGGAAAGGCATCTATTTAACTTATGGATATATATCACTACGTGATTCATATCAAATATTTGCTAAATATTTGGTGTTTTTGGAAGTCAAAATATAGCTACAGTTTATTCTATGCAAATGTATGCATGGATCAAGAAAAACATGCTAGATATAGTTCTTCTGTGATTTTAAATGATCGCAGGATAGTAATTTAATACAAGTGATACAGTTTGTAATCCCAGGCACTCTTTCGGTCTTTTACATGTTTTCAAGTGGATTGCTCATGTTCTGAGGTTGCTATCATACAACTGATCGCACAGCCGTTTACGAGTGCATAACGACACACAAGATTTTGTGTTTCAGCAGGGAACTGCTTCAGTGAGGCCAGGTTTCTCAACACCCCTTCTTCCTCACCGAGCCCATCAGTGAAGTTCAGTGAAATGAATAACATAATTGGTGGTTGGTTCAATCACTACCAGTCTAGACTAGCCCAGACGCATCAATTAGAGGGGGCTGTCTTTTAAAGGGAGAGTGCAACCGAAACAAGCAGGGCATTATTGATACTGATCTTTAAAAGTGCAAATCCAGCTTGGCAGATAAAAAAAAAAAATAAGGCGGGGAATTGGGGAGGGGGGCGCATTGCAGGAAGAAAAGAGAAAGAAGTGAACTGGAGCTTTCGGACACAGAAGGACAGGAAGCTTGAGAGAAAAGGAGGGGATAATGAGAGAAATGCAATGCGCACCTCCTTGGAACACACAGTTACAATTCAGTTCACAGGGCACACTGGTTCACCGTATTTTTAACTAGATTCTCCCCCCCTCCCTTTTTGTATTCCTTTTTTGCCTCTGTTTCCAAAGAAGTGCCAGCTCGAAACCAATGCAGTTGGAAATTTAACAGCTCTAGGAAGCTCTAGTGAGAATAAAGCCAAGTCATACGAACCAGCCAAAACTCCTTTTGCAACATTTTTCCCCAAAAGAAAAACACAGCAGATGTTTATTTTTGAGTCTCTAATTCTACCTTTTTAAAAAATCAACTGTACTAATGAATAGTACTCATTTTAAACCCAGCACCTGGGAACTTATTTATGGGCAAGACATCTTTTGGTAAACAGCTCATAGTTTTCTGGTGAATACAGTAAAATTATGAAGAATGTAACAAAAGGCTTTGGCAATTTGGTGGGGGGTTTGGGGATGGATAAAAGACAGATGATTTAGAAAGCGTTAGGAACACATCAAGCCCCAGGGAAAGAAAATGTTTGATTGGTATTAATTAAAACACTGCTAATATATTCTAATAAAATCAAATTTAACATTCTAAACTAATCCGCTTGGTATGTCAAAGGAAAAGAAAAGTATTATCTTATTTGCATCTCTGCAATCCAAATGCATTTGCTCATTCAGCAGAATTAATTTTTATCACCAGCCTGTTTAATCTCCTCACAGATTTAGTCAAACTTATTCTTTCAAACTAAAAAGGATCAGGGTAGGGAATCCATGGAGAGTATTGGGGAGACTAGCGACTGTATTTAGTACTGGCTTTATATTTTACGATGTTCTTTTCTCTTCATTTGCTATAATGAGGTATGGAGGAAAACAGGGAGACTGCAGCAAAAATGATGAACGGTTAATTGTTCCTCTCTTTCTCTCCTACCTACCAGGTTATTTAGGAATTTCAGTTGCCAAATTATGAGTGGCATTTATCTACGTGATTGATGTTGGTCTGTTGATTAATATCTCATTTATTTCAAATTTCAGAATCTATATTATTAAAAATTCCTAGTGAAAAAACACTCTTAAGCCAGACACCAATTGCCTTTTCTCAATTATTTTCAACTGCAGTCCTCCTAAGAGAAAGTGGGAAGGTGCATGTAAAATTTTATTCACCAAGAACTGAGTTCTTTGTTTCATTTTTAAGTCAAACTTTCTACAGGAAAATTTGTACTTTTATGAAATGGCAAAGCTTTATGCTCTTTATTGTTTAACTCTCACAATGGATAAAATTTTCCCCAAATGACATCATAGCCAAAATGTTTCTCCTCTCATTAGTCCCCCATGACTGTGATATCACATGTAAATATGTGCCTAACGCAAAAAAGGAATGGGCCATCAGTATTGAGGACCACATTCGTGCATGTCAACACTGAGCCATTCTGCACACTATTTAGAAGACGTAAACTACTGACTCAACTGATGGTGCTGCCTTTTTGCTCCGTTGCCTTTTTCAGTTCTTCAACGTAAAAGAGCAATCGCAGTTCGGTTTCACATGTATTGTTCTATAATCCAGGCAATAAATGCTAATTAGTAATGCTCAAGGATCCGACCATTCAGAGTAATTATCATAATTTACTTCTTCCTTGTTAAAGACATTCCTTGCTGATTAAAAAAAAAAAAAAATTAAATCGTCGTTTTACCATTGCACTGCAGTGGAAATGCACTGGAGAGATGTTCAAGGTATAGTCATATCATTCTGGCTGCATTCGAAGTCACCGACATGTGCCTCTTAGCTGATTCCAAATGGAATTGCAGCTTAATTTCTGAAAAGAAATTCATGTAAATGCATAAAGTTTTGCATGTGCACCAGGAATGTATGATCTTATGTTACAAACCCCCAGGCTCCTCCTTTCTGGCCCACCCCTTTCTAGAACCACTTAGTGAGCAGAACAAAGGACTCTGCTAACTATAGAAGCATCATTAAGTGTGAACAGCAACAGCATGATAAAGTATGTGATATGACAACATATTTCATTGCACAAAAGTGCAGATAATTAAATAATTCAATAGTAACCCTGACTAATTAGCAGAAAGATCTTTAAGGAGGAATCAAGAAAATGGATCCAATCAACTTGAATAATATGCTCCATTTTCCAAGATCACAAATATGTATTTGGTTATTTGATAACTGATTCGTACAAAAAGGTGAGGACAAAAGCCTATTCCTCAAAATGGAGCTTTGATCCAGTATCCTCTTTAGGACAAATTAATCATATGTTTGATAAGAGCAGAATTTAATGCAGGGCTCTCTCTTTTCAGTTAAAGGTATAATCTGCCATTCAACTGCACTTTTCTCTTTTATCAGTTGATCTGAAAAGTCATCAATCCCTTAGCTTTTTGTATTATTGCTCAGAATATATATGAAGCCTCCCCTACGTTTTCTAATGAGGCTCGTATTTAAGTTTATTTCTTGTTGCTTGAAGCAAATAAGGCTCCTGTGCACAGAAGGAATAGAATAAATAACCATACTAAGTCTTATATTTGGTGGCACCCTCCCCCCTTGCTTTATCTATCGAGGTAACACTCCCTGTGTTCACTGTTCATTGGTCCTTTAAGGGAGAGCTTTAGCCTTTACTTGAGGGTTGAAGCACATTAGAGGAATAATTCCCTTTGCATACTATACAGAAGGAGCCACCTGCAAAATGTTGATGCTGTTATTGAAATCTCAAGTGGAATCAGCTTTCAAAAAATTAGATATTAGATACATCCGATATCATTTGCAATGTGTAATTATACTAATGCGCATATAGTTGTGTGTTGCTTTACATGTTGCCTACTTGAGATTTTTTTTTCTTGGGCATTTCTCGTTATTTAGAATGTTTTTTAAAATCAGCTTATTAAAAAAAAATTCTCGTTAATGAATATAAGAGTACAAGGGCTCTACAGTCAGTGTTCTCAGGCAAGAATAAATGTGTGTGACCTAGATGTTGGAAATTAATGATCTCTAATACGGGTTATCGTTGTGGACACTTGCATTATTTGTAAAATATTTGCTACTCTTTACTGATTTCATTTTCATTCTGACTTTGGACAACGTGAAGTAATGGAGAATATTAAAATAGTAAATCTTATTCATAAGGAATCCATTTCCTTTATGGGAATAATGAGATAAAATGCTAGGGAAATGGCCTTAGGCAGAGATAATAATTTTAATTTAATCAAAGTAATCAAAATCATAACAATAATAAACAACTTCTTTTCTATTTTTCCTCCATTTTGTATGGCACACGATGAATAACTGAAACTCTGCCTTAGCTCATTTATGCACTAACATCAGCCTCCCTTTTGGTGTCTCGACATGGTGTCTCCTTGGACTGGAGACTCCCCTCCAAGGAGCTGACCCCTGAAGATTTAGCTATTAAGGAAAATTCCAGACAGAGCACCTGTGAGTGGATTGGTCAGCCTGGCACTTGGCACTTGCTATGTGCTCAGTAGGTAAAGATGCTCTTGATGCAAATTCAGAGAATGATTACCATCAGATCACAGAGAGCCCCTGAGCAAGACGGTGCAAGGATCCCAGTTTGTGCTCATATGTTCAGGAGACAAAAAGGATTCCAAGGGAGGCTCATGTTGAGATGATACAAGATATTACTCATTCCGATTAAGTAGGCAGAGGCCCCAAGGAAAGCTGATTTGTTAAACATTTGACTCATAATAGACACCTAGAATATGGTGGTTCACATATTTATGCTATTTATTTCTCAAAATTTATTTTAATAATGGAGTCTATATTACAAAAAAGACATTTTGCGTGGGCTGTTTCTATGCAACACTAAAGCAATGCACTGGTTTACCTTTCATCGTCTCATGTATACAAGGGCTTTCCGTTATTAGCCACCCGAAGGAGTCACCAAAAAATTCTGTGAAACGTCCTTCCTTACTGCCACAGCATTTTAATTTCTTCACAAATGAGTCTTACACACATGTATCAAAAGCTTAGCACCCCACCCTCTCACTCTATGTTCACAAAATAATGAATTCTAAAATCTGTAAGATGTATATTTAATTACTCATCCGGGATCAGTTATTGCATGCTTCATCAGAACAGAAAAATACCTATTAACAGTATTTAACACTAGGTTATTTTACAGGTTTTAGGGAAAAAAATATACCTGTCATCTAGAGAACCAACATCTTCAATGTATCCAAAGCATTTAGGGCGGAAAGTAGTGATATGTGGTAGTGTATCCCTTTTGGTGTGCCTAATTCATTATGCATCTCCATTGTGCTAGGATAATGAAGAGGCTGACAATAAACGCTTTAGTTAAATTAAAATCCATCTGCAAAGTATATTTCATTCATAACAACTTTAGTAAAATAAAAGAAACATTAATACAGCTCTTCCCAAATATCCTTGTCTGTAACATGAGTGGGTTGGATGAGTTGGTCTCTAAATTCTTTTACAGTTCTAAGAAATTTTGAAACTCTTCTAAAGTATTGAGGTACAAGAACAACTCCAGGACCCTTGAATCTGGAGTCTATTTGTACTAACAGTTGCCCTTTAAAGTTATATTTGAGTCCACCTCCAGGTACTGTATTTACTAACATATTTTGCCTTGATGCTAAAACAGTAAAGACTGAAGTTCATTTTCAGGAAGGGCAGTGACATAAAAGAGGAACAGCTGAGGAATGAAAAAAGCTACACAGTGGGAGAAGGAAATTCTTGATCTGAGTTCTAAGCCCATTTCCTTCAACATTAGCATAGAAGAAACCCAGACGAGCACCTGCCTTTCTATTTTAAGACCATAGTCTTTAGTCCTGCCTTCATTTAATTTCTTGCAATATGGTTTGTTTTTGCCCATTGGGTTGACTCCTTTGAGTTTCACATTTCCCTTTCCACTTGATTCATCTGAGTCATGTTAATATTCCCTTCTAAAGCCTACAATAGTTACAGTAATACACCGCACTTCCCAAATTAAATCCTAAGGTGTTCAAAACCTCCTGAAAATTGCCCTGCTGCATTTTCTGAAACCACTCCGAATGTATAATCCCTTCTTGAATTAAGCGAGCCTGCCTTCCCTGGCTCCCAAGTCTTTGAACTTGCTTACACCCTGCTTTTCTCTCTGCACACCCTGTCCCTCCGCCTTTCTACATTTCAGAAACCTTTCTTTTCTTTTTTTCTTTCTCTCCCTCCTTCCTCCTTCATTATTTCTCTGTCTCTTCTTCTTTCCTTCTTTCCTACCTACATTCCTTCTTTCCCTCCCTCCCTTTCATTCTTTCTTTCAGTGGGTACCATGTCATGCTTTGAGCAAGGCACTAGAAATACAACGACAAATACAAGGAATTGACATTAACTCCTAGCAATTCTAGTGACTTCGTTCACTTCTGCATTGCTAAGCACTTATGAATCCACAATTATTTTATTTTGCATCTAGTGTTTAGATATACTGAACGTGTCCTTACTGTCCTGTCTTCTGTTGTTGTTTTCCTACGTGTCCTATTTCAGTAAGTTGCCTGTTGGATAAACTTGGAGCTTTTCTTACGGAGCATTTTCTCCCAGAGCAATTAGCGTGGTGCTCCCACACATACTCAAGCGATACCATTGCTTGACTGATTCTTGAGCAAGGTGAACAATGAGAGAGAGCTACATTTTTCTGGTGATGCTGCATTTCACCTAGTGAAATGTTAGTTAGAAACAGCATGGCCCCCAAAGTATGATTACATTTATTTATTTTTACTAAAGTGTCGATGTGATAACTTTCCGTGACATGTTCTGTTATTTTTTTAGTTGTGTTGATGTTCCTTTCAGCTGGTCCTATAGCCCCCCCTCCTCAGGAATGTCTCCCCAGTGAAAGGACAAAGACTGCAGAGACTGGTGCACTGATGGACGCGCAAGCCAACTATGAAGTTGAAACAAAGAAAGCCATCACCTGAGGACACCTCTCCCGCTAAGCAGCACACCCAAATGGTGCAGTTTCAGCCAATAGAACTCTGAGAACAGGAGGCAATCTTTTCAAGAAACAGAAAAACTTAATAACGCCATCTAGATTAGATTTCTAAGGAGCCAAGGACTTTCCCTTCCTCATGTGTATTCCTCTGTTTGTATTTAAATTTGGTTTCACGTTCACTTTAAAAAATTTTTCCTAGTAGGAATATGCTTATTAATGCACCAGTTTTAAAATCAAAAATTGCACAAATGTGTTAATGTTATAAGGAACAAAAATAATGCTGTAAGTAGATCGATTTTTTAGCCACATACATAGTTTGATCTTAAGAGTGACCTAGAGAAAGTAAAGTACTTTTGAAATAACAAAGGAGTCAGAGGCAATGCAAAGGATAAAATAATGGTGTAAAACACTCATAATGCAGCGTAGAAATATCACATTATTCCGCCTGATACTAACAATCAACCATTTTTTTAATCAAGCAAGCTAGGTTCTGTGAGACATGTTTACTGCCTCTAGAGTTTAAATCTAGTTAGACAGAGGTATATAAACTTTTGAAAAGATAAGTAACAAATTGGGTCAATAGATGATAAGAGCAAAACCAAAACAAAATAAAAGATATAAATAAGGAGCTTAGAGGAGGTCACCATGAGCTGGACAAAACTGTCTGTTTAGGGAAGAAAGTTCCCAAAGAAGGAAAATATAAGATGAATCTTAAAGAATGTTAAAGATTTAGATAAATGGAAAGGAAGGAGAAAATAGAGCCCTTTAGATGGATCCATATTGTGAGCAAAGCCATGGAGGAAGGAATCTATGTGGTGAGTTTAGAAATTATGAATACACATGTCTAGTTGACTTCACTCCAGACATTCAATGCCAATGTGTATGTACATACACGGTAAAGAATTGCACACACATTCCCCCTCTTCCGCTCCAGGGGTCACCTAGAATTATAATCGTATTTCTTTGCCATTAAAGCAAGTGAGAGTGATTGGTGATAATGTGGAGAACTTGTGATTTTTCTGTTAACCTAGTAATAATTGGTATTTATTGAGTTCTCGCTATATGTTAAGTATCTTACATATTAACTCACTTAAGCCTCACGACAACCCTGCAAAATAGAAATTATTATCCCTATTTTACAGACAAGAAAACGGAGGTTTAATGAGGTTAAGTAACTTGCCAAAGTGCCATATATAGGGTTCACATTCAGAATTGGCAATTGCAAAGCTCATGATCTAGCTAACGCATTAAGTCAGGATATTGTGATCAATGTCACAGTATTGCTACTTCTTCTGTATGCTTTGATATTTTTCTATGGTAAACAAATAGCTATTTCATTTAATTATCCCCTCAAAATTTTCAATTTCCTGGTTAAAACACTAGAGTAATAGAATGTATTTTCATGATAGAAAATTGAAAAAAGTGAGGAATAGAGCTTATTGGCATTTTAGGCATTTTTTTTTTTTTTTTTTTTTTTTTGCCAGACTTTGATGAGATGTTCACTTTGGTCTGCATGAAATCTCAAATTCTTGATAATAAAAAAAGGGGGGCAGGAGAGCTTAAAGGTCATCTATTGTAATGTTCTCTTTTACAGATGAGATAAATCCATCAAGTTAGAGTGACTTATGGAAGATCACACATTTGAGTGTGGCCGAGTTAGGTCCACAAACCAGGCCCTCCAGCCTAGTCTCAGAGGCTCTTGAACTACTCCACCCTGCCTAAATGAAGTAGGAACTTGAATTTGATCAATGAAAACCTTCTATCTTGGTGATCAGGGAGCATTGTACCTAGCAGATTGCTTCAGTTCTGCACCTCTTTGGCTTCTCACCTCAATGTCACAAATAGCTAGCTGTGAACTAACATCTGTAGATCCAGAAACTGTCAATGGTCTATCCCGAAAGAACAAACACATAATGTTGTGTGTACAATGTCTTCAATGATATTCTTAAGTTATTTGGAATTCTTAGTTCACCTAAACAAGTCCGATCTCCTAATGAGCACTTTCTTAACTTAATGCACAGTATGTATTTGTAAGTGCTTCTGATGAATATTTATACATGATTGTTTCAATAGTCCTTATGTTTTTGAAAATATCAATAGTTATTTGCTATTTTAATCCTCACTTATCCATGTAACTAACTCAAGAGTACTTCAGCCGTAAAAAGCTGGAATTGAGGAAATCTCACTCTTCTTTACCAGCCCCTTTGCATTCAGTTGGCATTTAGTAATGATTAATAAAATGGTCAGCTGGATAACGCAGAGGTTCAAAATGCAGTTCTGTCTTGAAGGAGTCAATTAAGCTGGGACTACTTAAGGACAAACATCTAGACGTTTGGAAGTACCTGAATATGTGACTGTTGTAAATTTCCACTTAGGTGTCTGGCATTTCAGACTTAGACCTTCTCGTGGCTCAGCTTGTCCTATTTTCAAAATGATGATTATTGGCCACGTTTCACACAGTACTCATTAAGTGAATTCATAAATAAACAGGGTTTTTTAAAGAGTAGCCAAGCACAAAATGTGACTTTGTTGACATTTTATGAGACTTTGTCATATGTCCCCTGAACCCTCAATAAACCAATGTTGTATCAACTGTGAACTTGTGTTGATTTCTTGAAAGAGCATGCTCTCATAATTTGTTTGTTTTCACTAGTGTATATCAAAGCTAGTTTCAGGATCCACGAGGAGCAAATAGTCTAATGTGATGGGATAATTTAAATTTAGAGACAATTTCTAAATGATCCCATGTTGCCTTTGGATAAACGGTACTATAATCTACCCAAGTCAGAAACCAACGTGTGATCCTATCTTTTCTCTTTCTACCTGTCATGGGCAGTCGATCAGGTAAATCCTTTTGATTTTTCTTCTTTTTGTTTTCAAATATGTCTCCTTCTCTCTATCATCTATGTGACTATAGTTAAGACAGTCCTCATTTCTCACCTGAACTACTGCATCATGCCTCAGTTTTTTCCTCCACACAGCCAAGTAGCAGCCAGGGAAATCTCTCTCAACGGCAGATATGATCATATCATTCCACAATTTCAAACTTGTCTCACCTCCCATTGCCCTTGAAATATCATGACGCCTGAAGCCCTTCATATCCTGGATCCTGACCCCAACATTCCTTTCTAAACTCATCAAGGACTTCTCTCACACTGCTTTTCTTGGTGCTTGCCATACAACTTTGCCATTTTTTAAGGTTCTCTATCTTCTGGGCTTTCTCGCACACCTAACCTTCTGTTTAGTATTCTCTCCACTACCCCTTCCAGACTCTACCTCTTGTCCTGTAGGTCTCATCCTAGAAGTCATTTCCTCTTGGAAGTCTTCACCCCAACCATCCACTACCCCTAACTAACTAGCTTCCCCACATCAGTGCTTTCATAGCATTCTGTTTACCTCCTAATGACACCTATCACCCAGATTCTAATAGCTTATGTGCCAGGCTCCTCCATTTGAATGAGATTCTAGAGCTGCCTTGTTCAATAGGTTAGTCAGTCCCATATGTGGCTACTTCAATTTAAATTAATTAATATTAAATAAAATTAAAAATTCATTTCTCAGTTGCACTGGCCACATCTCAAGTGCCCAGCAGCCACATGTGACTAGTGGCCATCCTATGGAACAGCACAGATACAGAACAATTCCGTCATTGAGAAAGTTTTATTGGACAGTGCTGTTCTGAAAGACAAGTACTATGTTTTGTTTGTCATTTCATCCCCTAGACTTGCAGCCTTTCTTAACTGGAGTTTGTCATCTGAACTACGGAGGACAAAAATTATTTGAGTGACTATTTTCTCAATTCTCCCAAGAATGATGTATAACTAATACTTTACTATATGCATAAGAAGAAAGTTAATTCACTACATGTAAAGATGCCCAGGGGATTAGGGTTTAATTCTAGCATAAAACTCTAGTTGAGAAAGCCTATCACAGTGCTTGGCATAATGTAAGTACTTCATAAATATCTGCTGAATGAATGACACATCTGAATACTTAGACATTTTGTGTTATTTATTTTCACCTAGATGTGTGGAGTCATGTCTTTAGATTCCCAAGGGTTCTTCTCTAGAGGCTATGGCGATAGACGATTTCCTTACCTTCATCCCAAGGATGGTTAAATTGTTTCCCTGCAGTGAGATTAACGCTTACTTCACTTTCCTTCATTGTTTACACCGGCAAACAAAACTAGAGAGGTGAGGTCTTATTCAGTGGCTAAGATTAAAGTGAACATGATCAAAGTAGATACCAGATTTGACAAGGCTGATTTCTTGTAGGGATTGGCCAAAGTTCACTAAAAATGTTATTATTTCCTGAGCACCTGCTATGTGCCAGGCACTTTGTTAGGTCCTGGGGATATAGGAGGGAATAAGATGAACACAATTCTTGTGCTCATAGTGAAACAACATTAATATAATTATTTCAGTTCCTCTCCCTGCATTGTACCCAGAGCAGGAGTTCTCAACCTTGGCTGCACAGTGTAACCACTGGGGAATTTAAAAAATACTGATACCTGGGTCCCTCCTCAAAAGACTCTGATTTAATTGATGTGGGGAATTGGGATTTTTTTTAAAGCTCCCCTGGTGATTGTAATGTGCAGCCAAAGTTGAGAACTATTAACCTATGAGGATGTAATCTTAGAGTGAGTTCAGAGATCAAGAGCTTTTGGTACTAATAATTGATAGCATATTAGAACCCAAAAGAGAAACTTTAAAATCACCTAACATACCTTCATTTTATTTTTAATTTCTTATAATATAAATATAAATAAGACTTAGGAGTCACTGAATTGTCCAGGTCAAACAGCCAGTTCATGACTGAGCTAAGACCCAACCCCAGGTTTCTGACTCTAACACAATGCTCTTTTTGCTACACTAAGCTGTCTCAAGGAAATGGAAAATATAATTGTCTTCAAATCAAGAGACAACCAACGTCCACTGTGGTCATAATTTTTAAAAGGAAGAATTGAATTTGGATCAATTTGAGCCCCATGTACTCAAATTTTTCCACTAATGAAATGTGAGCTCCATAGATTCATTTTGTTAGAGTGCAACATTTTTTTTTTTAATAAACATACAACATTATATATTCAACTGTAAAGAGAGAATTCAGTTCCCCAGGAGCTCTTAATCACATTCTCACAAATTCAAAAATCAGTATACATATGTTAAACTCCATATATAACTAGGAAGGACATTTTGCCTTTAAACTTTAACTGCTCAATAGCAGAAATGGTAGTGGGAGGAGAAAATAAAAGAGTGCATTGTGCTCCCACATCCTCTGTCCCCACCCACCTTATTACATGACATTCCATTCAGTTAAACATTGCGCAGTACAGGTAAAATTGCCAGTCTGTCCCCACGAGAAAAATTGATTTTGAAAAATAACTACCATAAAAAAAAGTTACCTCTCTTAGTTACCACCTCCACCACCGCCCCATTTTTAGATTCTACTCATAGATCAAGAGAATCTAGGAGCCAAAAATCGTCGAGTCCACTCTTCTTCATCCACAGAAGACCACGTAGTGAAAAGAACCTTTCCATTTTTTTAAGGCATCAAAATAAAACTAATGCTCACATACTTCCTTCGAAACACATTTCAGTGTTTGAGAGCCTACATAGTTGGGAAATTCTGTTTTATTTCGATTCCAAATCCCTCACGCTGTAGTTTAATCCCATTTTCTCTTGTTCCCTGTGGAGAGAAAGAACAGCTGGGCTCCATTCTCTCTAAACTCAATCCCTTCATGTCCTTAAAGACACCTACCTCCCAGCCTTCTCTTCTCTGGCATAAATAATAGCAGTTCCCATCAGGAAAATGTCTCTCTTGGATTGTGCACATTCACTGCCATATCACATATATTCTTGCTCATCAAATAATGTTCATAACTAAAACAAGCCAAGGCCAAGAGCAAAAACAAGCAAATGTATCATTGTTTTCATGAATGAAGTTACAGATCCAATAATAGATGCCGAATACATGGTTGTGAATGATAATCTTCCAATAATTATGTGCCAAAATTATCATAATTTCTTTTAGAAAGTATTGGCAATCTGTTGCTTTTGGAGAGGAGAATTAGAAATTCAATGATTAGGTTTCAATTTTCTTTATGCAAGTTCTCCCCATTCCCTGCAATGGAATATTCCATTCAGCATTCCACAGCAGGAGCCACCATTGCTTTGACAAAAATAGATACAGTATTGGAACATTCAGTCAATGGAGTAATCCAATTGTCTGAACATTCTTTTCTGCTTTGTCATTTACATTTTAATAAATCCCAGAATATGTCAAGCTGTATCGTGTTGTACCAAGTGCAGCTAATAACATGCCGTTACCAGATGCAATGAGGAAATCATAACATGTAAGTCCTGCAATGCATCAGCATTTGGTTTGTGTATATTTTTAGTTTCCTACATTTTAAATAGGGATACTCTTAAAAATAAAAAAATGGATATTTAGCAAACTCTTTGCTATTATCAACATTCTGTTAGTATATTCAGTTTTCATAAAGGAAACTGTGGGGAGCGATGCTCTACTTAATGGATCTAGGAATTCTGGCATCCGTTCACCCCAAGGATGACACTATATATAGCTAGCAAAAATGTAGACTGTTAAGTTACCATTGTATATCTATTTCTCTGCCAGTTTACTCTCTCTCCATTCAGGAGGCTCAGATAATCACGTTTTAAAGTCATTTGACATTGAATGATTCCAAGATTTCAGGCAAACCAGTCCTGAAAAAGATTGTGTGTGCGTGTGCATATATGTATAATTATTAATCTATATGCATAACTTACTCCATGCATATATTGACCACCGATTGTTTCAACACTTTGAGAGATTTGTTATCCTGGTTTGACAGAACCCATTGAATTTTTACCATGTGGCAGAGCTATAGTGATGGTGGAGGGAGCCTCAGCATGTTGGGGATCCTTAAATGGCAGATATGTGCCTAGAGAAAAGGGTTCTTCAGGGAAGAGACAATTCAGATTAGCCTCAACTAGTAAAAATCACATGGGACACCAGGATTAAATTTAGCTCTGGTTATATCCTTTGTACCTAATACCCAAGTCATTTAAGTTAGCCCATCAGAAAACCCTCACTTTAGGCTTCTCCTCTCAGGCTTCTGATTATTACCTCTTGGGATATTAACTGCCAAAGGACCAAGGTTATTTCCTGACATCAGGTAAATCTGATTAGTGTTAAACTGATAATAAACTCAAGGACTAAAAAAGAACCATTTGTGTTTTGCTGATGCTTAGAGCAGTTTAAATGCTTGCCAGAGGCAAGCACACCACTATCACTACATGGGGTCAAGTCTTGTGTTGAGGAGAGTGATATCATAGTTTAACAGTAGGGCGATGGAGAAAACCAAAATGCAGTGGCATTGTAATGCACAAGTGAGGTCACCAGCATTTCCTGATTCCCAGAGTTTTCTTTTACTCTGTCTCAGTGTGATAACTGGTAGATTCAGTGGAAAAGTATGACCTAGCCAATAGTAGAATGATCACAATATCTTAAGACCTCAGAAGAACCCTTTACAACTTCTCCATTCACTTAAAATATCCTCAACACTTACTCTCATAAAGTATTACCACGATTACA